TTTTCTAAATGGGGAATCTAGCAAGTATAGATACATTCCTGTGCTCTTATCTATATTGCTGTAATACGCGTTCATTTTATGAAATGGAGGGGATGGGGAGGCGCCAAATGATTACATACTTTTGAGGGAGTAACATCAAGTTTGGAAACCACTGCATTAAGTTAAGTTAAGAATATTCCATTTATTTGATCTACGATTTCATATTTTTCTTTACAAATTGTACAAGTATTGTTTCAATTGTTTTCAAAGGTACTTTGATGTATTTTCTATTTTATTTGAATTTACCTAACAGAATGTAATCTTTCAAGAACGTTTTACCACCAAGCATAACATTGAACTTTGCCACGTACGTCTGCCCTTTCTTCAAGACAACTTTACTGCTCGCCTGACTTTTACCATCCTCTGTACTTTTCTCGCTGCTTTCTGCGGTTGTTCCGGTGCTTTTCCCTTTTTTACCTTTTCCCTTCTTTTTCTTCTTTTCCTTAGCGAAACCAAACCGAATCTTCAGCGAAGTCTTTCCTTCTGCGGGAACAACGCAACACTCACTGATCACTTGAAAAATTCCATCGTTTCTACATTCAAAAGCCGCAATCGAAGCTTCTTCATCCTCAGTCAAAGTCTCCGAATTCTTCGCAGACTTTCCGGATTTACCTGATTTTTTCGATTTTTTACTTTTCGGCGACGGCGATCTCGATTTACCTTTCTTCTTCTTTTCTTTAGGAGCCTTCGGCTTCTTCGACACTTTGATCTGACCTTCCAGCTCGCACATCTTCACCACGTTAAGGGTCACAGGCACTCTGCTCTCGTTACTCACTTGGATGTTGAAGTCGGTGAATGATTTCTTTTTAGCCTCCAATCGGCAAACGGACAGGTTCGGCGTGAACTTCAAAACGACTTCGACGCCTTCGCCCTTCAAGATGAACGGATACAGCGTCGTCCTGGCAGTTACCTCCAAAATCTCGAACTCCTGAAGCATCCAAGAACGACGGTGTCAGTGTCAAATTTTGTTACGTGTCGGCGCTTTCGGAAATTTGCAGCCCGAGGAATACCTAAATGGAACTTAATTGATCAGCAAAATGCATACAAGGAAGGTAGCCTTCAACATAGGCACGGCACGGTTCGTCCCGATCGGATTCCATCCTCAACTGGATAAGAACGGGACCGTCCTCAGGAAGACTTACAACTTGGGTCCTGGCATGTACGAACCTCAAGAGATGCCGTGCACCTTTAAATCCAAACGTACCGTTTCCATGTAAGTCTCCTAACGTATCGAAGATGTTTTTTTAAATATTAATCTGTTACTTTTTCAGGTGGAAGAGACAAACCGACTGCGAGGAATTCTCCAAACAATTGGGATTCAGAAATGCTTCGATCCTGGAGACGAGGGAATTCATGGCCAAACACCTGGGACCCGGATCTCACGAGATCTGCGAGCTTCCCCGATACGAATCTCCCTGTTTGAATCAGAGCTTTGGAAAGCAGAAGAAGTTCAAGATATTTGAAGACCTGAATCCTCCTCCAGGTTTGCCTCTTACATTCATTACTAATACGGTTACATTTCGTTAATTGTAAATTTGCAGGCAGTTACAACTACGAACCGGCGAAGCATTTCTTCAATGAATCGCCGACGATCTTGAACAGGCAAACACGTTTCAGAGATACGACGAAACCTTGGAATCTGGCCTCGAATCGATACAAGGTGAAGGAGCTCCACATCAGCGACAAGGTCGTCTCGAAACGCGGGCCGTACGACCTCTTCACTGGACCCAGAGATCCGGCCAACATCTTCAATAAATTCTCTCCGCCGAAGAGGTGTACACCAGACAAATTCTACAACTGGCCCACGGATTTGGAGTATGTGTTGCATCACGAGCACAAAAGCCGGTAATTTATATAAGGATTCAGTTGTGTGTTTGAGTGTATACGGATATATAATTTGCAGTTACGGATGCTTCCTGAAAGCCCCGAAATTTCCGCCGAAACCCACCGTTCGGATGATGCTCGCCGATCTGAGCACCTGCTACAAGGATCCGGATGCACCGGGTCCAGCTTCATATTACATCAAAGGAAAAGGGTATTATTAATATTTTTCAATCCTGACTACGATTTGATGATTTCATCTTTTAGTATTATCTCGAAACCGCCATCAAAATACCCGTTTGATTCAGGAACGCGCGGTAAAAGCGGTTTGGATTGGCGGATACAGCCGGGACCGGGAAGGTACACACCGAAAACGCATCGCAAATGCGGCGCGACGAAGTGCGGCACCAGCGTTTTCAAATCGAGAACGCAGCGTTCCGAGTACAAGGCCACCGTGTACAATAGCTTCTGAAAGGACAAATAAATTCGTGAAGATGAAAGTTGAAATACCTGGCTTTCTCGTGTAGGTGTGAATGCTATCGGCACGTCGAAGAAGTACTCTGATGGTAAAACGGTGTCGCGCATTTGCGGTACACTGAACGCTCCGATCGGGGAGAAATCAACTTTCGGTGTAATCTCCTCTCCTTCAATCATTTTTGGATGAAACGGATGAAACGATCGATCAAGTTAAGTGCGTACTTTCGATATTTTGGAATTTCAAGAGTTTCTGAACGCTGGTGCCAACGGCGATCGTCCCAAAGTCGATTTCTTGCAAGTTTTGGTCGTGGATCATGGAAGGTCTCACCACCGGGCATCGCGCCTTCAAATACAGCCTATCCGTCACGTTCTCACTTCAGAATTTCTTAAAGATTCCACCAACGCAAATCGTTAATAACTTACTGCTTCTCTTCGTCGCAATAGCTTATGGTGCAGCAGAACTCCGCCTGGATTTCGTACGCTTCCAGGTTCCTCCAGACGCACATCTCCGCCGGATAGTAATCGAAATACCCGACGATTATCTCAGTTTCATCGACGGTAACCTGGGACAAACTCTCCAAAACCTTCTCTGCAGCACCTGATCAACAATCAGCCAGATTGGTAATTATCAAAATTTGAATATTTTACAAACGAACTTTTAGTTTCCTTCTCAGATTTTTTCTTCTTATCCTTTTTGCCTTTCTTCTCTTTCCTCTTCCCTTTTCCTTTATTTCCCTTTTTACCTTTCCTCTCCGGTTTCTCGTTCTCCAATTTTTCCAGTTTCTCCAGTAGAGCGGCACGCTTCGCCTCCATGAGCTGCTCACCTCTTAACGCCCTCGCCTTATCCTCGATCACGCTCTGAGGCACTTCAGGTTTGGCTATCAAATAGATTTGGCACGACCCGCCCGGCTCCAGATTACCGCAGCTCGGCTCCACAAGAATCTGACCGTTGTTACCGACAATTTCGAAATGCGCTCTGTACACCAATTTCTTCACTTTGATCGCATTCAAATCTATACGCATCAACGAGTACGATCCGCACGGCGTTTCAGGAAACTGCACGTACTGAGCGCTGAAATCGCACCTGGGTACGGTAATTCGAGCATTGATTATGATGTAATTCAGTTCCGGTTCCGCTTCGATCACCGTGAATTCCGACTGCTCCGTGCCTATCTCCTCCAATGCTTCGTATTGCACAACACCGATCACAGTTTCTGGGACGGTGAAGTTCGCCAACTCGCTAACAGACAACGGTACGTGATTCAACACGACGATGCTATCATCATCATCATCATCATCATTATCCACAACTAACTTTACGGATTCCATTCCAATCATGCTAGTTTTAACGGCTACGAAGAGCTTCAGGAAATCATCGAATATTGGTTCATTTTCGAAGCGACAATCCGCGCATATAATCCGCTCCAATTCCAACAACTTCAAACTCACACGCTTCATATCAATTTTCTGCGAACGTACATTATAATTATGTAATTGGAAACGTTTCAATTATAGCTCAACCTTTTTCAATCCGCCCATGTGTTTGACGCTCTCGCAAACTATCTTGAAGATGAAGATCTTGGACTCCGTTCCCTGCGAATACTTCGGAATATCGTTGGATTCGGGCGAAAAGAAGAGTCTCACTAATTTCGTCTCCATCGGATTCAGGTGACCGAAACCGAAATTGGGTTGCACCGTCAAGCACTAAATGTTAATCGTAATTTTCAGTAAATCAATGAATTAATTCTAGAATTTAATACCGGAGGTAAATTGAGGAAAGCAAACTCTTGAGGGACCAGAGTACAATTCCTGACTTCGAGCTCGGCGTAGACGGTTTCCACGGTGGAGCAGACGCCCAAGTCCAGAACGAATTCTCTGTCGAGGACGGTCGAGTGAGTTTTCGGATACAAGCTGATACCGAGCGGAGGAGTGACTGCGCCGAACGTGTCCAAACGCATCGGTGGAGTGTCTTCAAACCCTTTGGTCTCTACGCAGACGTAAATTGGAAACTCTAGGATTGCGTTTTCTGCATCGTAAAATTTCTCGTTCTCTTCGATGATGCCCAACCTGAAACGTTATTACAACGATACAATAGAGAGTTGGTGAACGTGGATCAGTTTCACCTGGGTGAGAATTTTATGAAAAGTCTTTGCTTCGATCCGGCTTGTACAACTATGCTGCACGTTTTGCAGGAGAGGTACCATTTGATGGTGGACGGAAATCTGATTCGGATGCGATGCGGGATCTGCGTGGAGTTGTACAGGTCGAACGATAATTGATAGACGGAATCGTGGACGCACACTTCAAAGTCTAGGAAGTCCGGTTGCAGCTCTAAGAAGTGACCGGTCGTCTCGGCGTTCACAGCAACATCCTGACTTCCGATGCAGTACAACTTACCGTCGGGGAATCTCTCGTAAACACTCAACGTGTACACCTCGACATGGTAACCAACGTAATCTATATTCCTAAAGTACACTTTGATCTCGTCCTCCGTTTTTCCTTTCACGTTGAAGATGTTCCTCTCGAAGCGAAACTTGTTGAAAACATTCTCCACGCATTCCCTGAGCAGAGTCTTGGGGAATTCGTTCAACTCTTCCGAATCCTCCTTGGATTGTATGCTCTTCTGCTCCTCTTCCTCCAACTGCATTATCGAGATTATGTTCCTCCAAGCCTGCTCAACGGATAACTGCGTGAAAACTTTGGTGATGACCACGCGACATTCCTTCAATCCATCATTCTTAATCTAAAGCAACGATTGTTAATACCCGTCTGTTAATTGTAATTGCAATTACTTTCAGTGTCTTGAAGTTCTTCATCTGCTTCCGCAAGGTTTTCGCTTTCCAAATGGGAGCTTCCTCGAAGGTGATCACGCTCGGATTTATCAGGATCGAGACGCAGCTCGGTACAAAGACCACATTTACGTGGCACTGCTTGAATCCTTTCTCACTGCAATCTCCTCTAGTGAGAAAGATTATCTTCGCTTCGGCAGTCTTGGCCAACGTCTGCGGATTGAATTGGACGATCGCTTCGGATTTTATACCAGGTGATAGTTTAAGGATTCCCATCGGTTCGATTACCAGAAGCAGATCATCGTCGGTGTCGATTAACCAGACGATGCGATCCAACAGGATTTTCTTGGCTCGAGGTCCGGCGTTCAAAAATCGCAGTGATTTCCTATACGAATGTCCGTTCACGAAATCCTTAAATCTTATTTAATTTCAGTTCAAATTAGAGAGTTATGATGATATACCTTGAAGATCATCTTCGGAGGATCGAAGACCAATTGACCGTCCTCTGGATAGAGGACCTGATTCTCCCACGCCTTCTCCAATTCGTAATTTTGACGATCCACTATGTAATCGTTGAGCTTCTTGAATTCACCCATGAGTTCAGGAAGATCCTGCATATCCTCGACGGTGATTCGATCGCGTCTATTCAATTTGGGAGCAATCGGCAATTCCAACAACTTTTCCTAAAGGCAAAAATTGATTCCCCTCTCAACAGAAACCCTCAATTCAATTCACTTACTCGCTTTTTCGATTTCTTACTCGACTTTGATTTCTTCGACTTCTTTTTCTTGTCCTTCTTCTTACTCCCTTTGCTACTTTTTTTCTTCGACTTCTTTTTATCCTTCTTACCCTTCTTGTCTTTAACTATCACCTCTTCGACGACTTCTTCGACCGGTTCTTGCTCTTCCTCAACAACTTCTTCGACTCTCGGCATCAATTCCATCGCTACTCCAATTACCTCCAAACCCTTCATCACTTTTCCGCCTCTCTTCACCTTATAATCGTAAGTTTTCCTTGCAGCCTTTTCAATCTCCTTTCTGCGCTTCTCATCCTGCACCATCTTCTTCACTATCTGCAGCCTGTTCCTCTCCGATCGTTCTGAATCTCGTTTCCTCTCATTCTTTATACTCAACACTTTATCCACTAGTTTGGATTCAATGGAAAGTCGGGGCAAAGAAATGTTGTACTCGAATCTTAAAGAGGAGAGGATCCCGGTTCTTTCTATTCTAACCTTCTGTTCTCTTGCGCTCTTTGTTGTTGCATAAACGAACTTTGCGCGCGCAATCTTTTGCTGCAAGTTATCACAAACACTTTAAATACACCTTCCAATTCTAATCTGATCTATATAAATATACTCTAATTATTTCCACAGCTCTGATCTGGTTACGAACGGTATTGCAAATGTTGTTCTTCACCAGCACCTTCTGCAGCTTCTCGTAGATGAGACTGGCGTGATGATATCTCTTCGGTCTGATCGACTGAATCGCTGTAGACTCACTTGACTCCCACTGGAGGAAACCCTCTTCCGTTTCCGTCGCTTTATCCTCGAACTGCCTGAGCATCCTCAACGCAAACTCCTCGGACTGCACGAATTCCTCCAAGAACTCCTTCAGCTCCAAATCCTGTCTCTGGAAAAGGTCATCCCATCCAGAATTTTCGTCCGGAATGGAACTAGTCGAACTGCTGTAGTGATCACCTTCAGCCATCTCGTTGAACCGTAGAAGTTGAAAACCGGAAGAAGGAAAGGAAAATGACAGGTCAGTCAGAAAGTCAACAAAAAAAAAACACAATTAGTTCAACTTTTTTTTTTTTTGTCGTGAGGTTTCAATATTTATTTATTAAAAATACATTTAGGTAATCAAAGTGTATCACATAATTACTTGGTGTGCATTCATTGTTCAAGAAAAAAAAAATAATCCTTATGATCATCAAATTAAGAAAGTTAGAATCAAAGTACAATTTAATTCCTTTTATCACAATTCGCTCTCTCTCTCTCTCGTCTCAGACTCTAAACCTATTTAGCTGATTTTTTTTTTGTTCGTTTCTTGTTTTTTTTTTTGTTCTTTTAGGCTTCGATGAGAATTTTGCCCTGCTTCGGTTCGACGCTCTTATCCTTCCTGGTGATCTTCCTCTTGGTCGGGGCCTTCTTCTCCGCCAAGTACATCGTGTTGTACTTGAAGTACTCCTGGATTTGGCTGAGTTTCTTGCCGTGCGTTTCCGGGAGGAACACGAAGATGTAGAGCATGCCGACGATGGCGACGCCCGCGAAGAACCACTGGATTCCGTGTGAACCGCCCATGATGCTTTTCAGCGGACGATACATCTGGAGCGAGAAGAACATGAGGATGTTGGCCAAGCTGTAGGAGATGCTGTGCGCTATTCCGCGGATCTCCAACGGGAAAAGTTCTGCGGTCATCGTCCACGGGATCGGCAGAAGACCGATCATAGATGTGAGAACGTACATGAGGAGCAGGACTACAGGTACCCAAGTTTGCGTACTCTCACCTAAAAGTAATGTTAGAAGTTTGAATAATTTCAGTTGATGTAATTCCAACTTACCGTTGTTGATCCAATAGGTGAATAAACCAGAAACACCCATGCACAAGGCGATTCCGGCGCAGCTGATCATCGTCAGTGGTCTGCGATGGTAGCGCTTCAGCAAGTAGGTGTTGACCATGGACATCAAGAAACGCACCACTCCGATAAGCACGGAGGAGAAGTAGGCGTTGATCGTGCTTCCCATATCCTGTAGAAAATCGTTGCACAACTAAATTCTCATTTATTTCCGGTCCAAAGACTCACCAAGAAGAAGTTAACGGAGTAGAAGAGTGTAATGTAGATGCCCGAGAACTGTTGGAAGAAAAATAATCCTATGAGGACTAGCATCGGTTTGTATCCGGTGGGCTGGAAGAACGCTTTGAATTTGCGCGCAGCGCTGCCGCCTCCCACGTTTTCCGCATCCTTCTGACGTTTCTCCCTGACCAAGTATTCCAGTTGCATTTCCGAGAAGGTTTGCTGTTTAAGACAAAAAATGAAAATTAATACTTTTTTCATTAGGTCTTCCAAAATGTATGTATGTACCTTTTCGCCGGCCAAAGCTGGTTGATATTTGTTCAACCACTCGATGGCTTTTTTGGCTTGATCCACTCTTCCCTTGCTCACCAACCAGACTGGACTCTCTGGTATGAACATGATGAGGATGGCCGGGACGACGGTGTAAATGTTGCAGAGCCAGGCGACTGTTCTCCAGTTCAAGAACCATCCTTTCAAGAAGAGCAGCACCATGCCTGCAAAAGTAAAAGTTTAACAATAACAGTCTCGATTGTTTCGGAGATTAATTTTACCCAAGGAGGCGTACGTGGGGCCGCAGGAGATCAGGGATCCTCTCATATCCGCCCTCGCGATTTCTGTGATGTACACGATGGCAGGACTGGTGCCCCAAGCTGCTGCGAAACCCGTGAGTATTCTTCCGACCAGAAGCATGGTCACGTTCTCGGCCATGGCTATCAGAACCCAACCTACGCAGACCGGCACAGTGGATAGTTTTATAGTGTTCAGACGACCTATGGAGTCCATGATGAAGCCTCCCGCTATAGCACCAATAGGTACAACGATAACGATAATACTGGCTGCAAGAAATCATAGTATTAACACGTTAAGGACGGCGCTTTTCGGGTTGCCTGCCCCCAAAAAAATTTTCGTGGACGCCTATGGACTGAGAGAAACGTCAAATATCTTACGTCAATTACGTCAACCTTTAAACGATTAAATTTTTCTTATACATTTTTTTTAATGATATTGAAGCAATTTATAAGAATTGTGGGGGAAAAATATTGAAATTTTCATAAAGTTGTTACATATTGCGCACAGTGTTACGATCAACCGACGCTGTGTATCAAATGTTTTGAAGATGTTCATAAAAATAAATAAACACTTCTATTATTGAATGATCCCATTTTATTTTTGTTATATTCAATGGATAAACACAACAGGGTTCGAATTTTATTGAAACGCGGGAAAAGTGCTATAGGTTTCATAATAAGCAATAATAATAATTGATCATTGCAAATTGATCATTGATCATTGAAAATTTCAAATATGTTTCGCAAG